CCCCAAAACCCCAAAACCCCTCAATCTGAATTAAGAATTATTAAATGGACTTAAAGCTAGTCATTATTATATTAAGTTAAAAAATAAATGAAGGCGTTGATTTTGATAGGTGGATTTGGGATGAGACTTAAACCACTAACTCTTACTGTCCCTAAGCCTTTAGTTGAGTTTGCTAATAAACCTATATTATGTTATCAAATAGAAGCACTAGTAAAAATTGGAGTGACTGAGATTATTCTATGTATTAACTATCAGCCTGAAGTGATGGCCTAGCAAGTTAGGGAATATGAAGACAGAGTAAGATTAAACAATAATAACTTTCTATATTTAATCATAACCTTATCATATAGTATAATGTGAAGATTACTTAAATTCAGGAAGAAGAACCACTAGGAACAGCTGGTCCAATCAAACATGCAAGAGAATAGTTGCTTAAAGATGCGACTCATCCTTTTTTCTTCGTAATGAATTCTGACATAGTTTGCGAATTCAATCTCGACCAGTTGCTAGAGTTCCACATCTCACATGGAAAAGAAGCATCTATGTATATGACGACAGCTGAAGATCCTTCCAAATATGGAGTCATAGTTGCTGATGAAAATGGAAGAGTCTCCAAATTTGTTGAGAAGCCTAAAGAATTTGTAGGAAGTAAAGTTAATGCAGGCCTCTACATTATAAATAATTCTCTTTTGGATTAACTACCCAAGAGGCCTTGTATGCTTGAGACCGATATATTTCCCAAGCTGGCTGAAGATGGCTCTCTTTATGTAATTAATCTGAAAGGATTTTGGATGGATGTTGGCCAACCCAAGGACTTTATGAATGGAACAAAACTCTACCTATAATATCTGAAGGATCAGGGTAGTGAAGATCTTGCTCGAGGTGATAATATTATTGGGAATGTACTCATTCATCCTTCAGCCAGAGTTGATCCATCCAGTGTCATTGGTCCCAATGTTGTTATAGGAGAAGATTGTGTGGTATGGAATGGAGTAAGAATATCCGAGTCAACTATTTTTGGGAAAACTTAGATTAAAGGGCATGCTTTCATCAGAAATTCTTTAATTGGTTGGTAAAGCATTATTGGTCAATGGGTTCGTATTGAGGGCGTGAGTGTCGTGGCTGAAGATGTTTAAATCAAAGATGTAGTCTTCATCAATGAAAGCTTTATTTTACCTCACAAGAATATCACTAGTAGCATCCCCAATCCGAGTACTATCGTAATGTGAATTAGTTGAGTCTTTCTCATTATCACCACACTCCAGAGGTTCATCATAATGGAGCATAAATTCCTATATCAATTAATAATTCTCTTATATAATTTGTAAAAATCTAATAATTTAAGTAAGCTGGGGTTTTGGGGTTTTGGGGTTTTGG